ATTTTTTCCCTCCCCCCCCCCCCCCCCCCCCCCCCCACAATTTTTTTACTAGCACTAATTTTATCTGATCCGAAATATATTGTCATTCTTTGTTTATAAATATCATAATGTCTTTTTTCAAATGTCATGTCCTTTTGAGAAACCAACATGTGCTGTATTTCATATTATTTCACCGCATTAATACAACTTTCCCTTGAAAATGCTTTCCTCCATTCTTCTTTCCTTTTCTGTCTCCTGTTTGTTTGATGCCTTTGCCTACATGGATGGAGCAATATGATGATTTATCATGCAACTGGCTTATTTTGTTGCATCATTCTAGTGTCAGCCATTTTGTAGGAATAGATCAACGGTGGTGTCCTGTTACCTTCTCCTTTGCGAAACGTGGTTTTCTGCGATCTATGGTTTGCAAATAAATTCAAGATTTTGAAAAGCTGCATTTCTCTGGATAAACCGAAAGTTGAATTTTTTGGGTGTTGTTTTACGATATAGAAGTACGAGTATTTATAGAAGCAATTGAATTGAGGTGGTGAAGCTTCCATCTATATTTCAGTAGTTGCTGCCACCACTAGTGAAAAATCCTTAATATGATAGCAATAGACAAGTTGGATCAATATTGTATTTTGTAGTAGTTGATGGATGCCGAAGCTAATTTTCATCTTTGCTATGTTCCATTTATAGTCAACTTTCACATTCTTTGGTGTCACCTCTTCGTTGATCCTCAAACTTTCACATTTTATCTTGTTCTTGATCTTTTTATTTATTTTCCTATTTTAATTGACAATGAGGGGATAATAATCTTTTCAATAAAATCTCTTGACTTTTTAACTGTCGTCTGACATTTGATCACTACTAAAGCTTCCATAAAGCAATTTTAAAAGGACATTTCTGACAACGATTTGGCATTACCCTTCTTTAGGCAGAGTGGATGGCACCAGAAGTTCTAAGAAATGAGCCATCAAATGAAAAGTATGTCCTCCAATTATTACTCTTACATAAAAATATACGAGAGATGAGAAAACAAATCATCCTTAAAGTGACATATTTTTCTTCTTTATTTGATCGTTTTTGATTGATTTGGTTGTTGATTGATTTCCATGCAGATGTGATGTTTACAGCTTTGGCGTTATACTATGGGAACTTTGTACTTTGCAGCAACCTTGGGGAGGAATGAACCCGATGCAAGTTGTTGGTGCCGTTGGATTTCAGCATCGTCGTCTTGACATTCCAGACGATATGGATCCAGTTATAGCAGATATAATCAGGAAATGCTGGCTAACGTGAGTGTATTTCAATCGCTTTCTGGAGTTCAAATGTTTGCATCAACTAGTCTTGTCTGTAGATTTAGGGCAGTTATGAAGTCTTTTCACCCAAGTAGGCTTCGTTTACAAATCATTACAAATAATATTAAAAAAATGCTCTGTGCTAAAAACTGTGGCATGTTTACAAAAGTAGATTAAATATAAGAACGAGAACTAAGCTAAAACTTTGTTTATTATACTGTTTGGTGCTTTGAGTACTGTGTACAAACCATGAACTGAAGGTCTTAAATGCTTGAGATACATTTAGCCTGGAGTACAGCTTAGATACAAATGAATGAAGCACATGCCCATATAGTGTTTGTTTTCAGTATTTAAAGTGGGGAAATTTTACTTTTCGAACATGAAATATTGTAGAGATCCAAGATTACGGCCATCATTTGCTGATATTATGGCTGCCTTGAAACCACTACAAAAGCCTATTTCCAATTCACACGTGCCAAGATCCGGTGTGCTTGTAAGTAGAAGAAATGAGAAGGGTCAGTCATCACTAAGCTTGGAAGATCAATCCAGTCGTAAGAGCTAGTGGGTACAGATAAGTTATTTTGCTCGATAAGAGTGACTTGCAATGGAGGCAAATGGTGAATGAGATTTTGTTATAGATCTTGATATAAAGCACATACAACACATTTGAGTGAATTAGAGTTCTTTCATTTCCCAGAGTTTGCCGTTTATGGTTTGTATTCATGGCTTATCGTGCCACCATCCATGAATTGTGTAGATGTTTGTATATTCATTTGAATTTGTTGTAATTAGGCTTGAAATTTTTGTTTCTGTCTAGCTTCTAAAACGAAGCTAGTGAAAAATCCTATTGGAGGTACGGGAAAACATGCGTGGAAAAATCAATTTCAACTGTGGGAAAAATGTTTCTCCCTTTTGTAGAATTTGTTGCTTTATTGATGTTTTATCATGCTTTTGAGGAGTTTGTTGTTTACGGTCAATTTGGCAAAATTTTTGAGAAGCCAAAAGCTAATTTTAAGACAGCTCTCATTTGGTAGCAATTTTTCATCCAAAAAAAATTATTTTTTGACCGTTATTTCACTATTTCAGTCGTCATTTTTAATTTTCTCACTTACAGGTGGGATCTATTTTTCTCTAACGGTTAAAAAATCAATTCTCATAATCACTACTAAACAGACCCTAAAGCTATTTTTGAACATGTTCAGATAATTCTTTGGAAGTGTTTTATCTTATTAAAAGCGCGTTTAAGAAAAAAGCTTATCTAATGTAGTTTTTTTAAAAGAATAATGTTATTTAGAACAAGTGGTACTAGAGCACCAGTCTAGATGATTACACTACGATTGTAAGTTAGCGTGCGTGCGTCGTGTTTGACAACATAGTGAGTATGAATGTGGCACTATGCCCTTAAGCTTAAGCTCGTCACATGTAAAGATAAGGTGGGGGCCAAAGGCTACCTCTTCACAATATGTTCACTACAAATATCTATCTCCCATTCCATATCCCAAATTTTTGAGCCAAGATTTCGTATGTGAAAATATGGCTGCTTTCTTTGGATCCCCACAGTTTCTATCTCTTCCAAAAACAAGAAGTAATTACTTCTCATCCTCACAAACCCCTCCTCCAGAGCCACCATCATATCAGCTTCCAGAGCCACCAACTACACCCCCAAAAACTCAACAGCTCAGTTCGAATGCAGCTGAGCCACCGTCCCCCACAGTAGCTAAAGTGCAGCCGCAGAAGCCTGTAACCAAGACAAGTGTGGAGTCCACTGATTGGATATCTTCCACCTTAACCAGAAGATTTGGAATTGGTGCTGGTCTAGCTTGGGTTGGTTTTCTTGCTGTTGGCGTTCTTTCTGAACAAATTAAGACTCGTTTTGAAGTTTCACAACAAGAAGCAAACACGAGGTATGATATTTATTGATATTACTAGACAGAAATCATTATTCAAGCTAAATTCCATCGTAGGCTTCCATCACGTTTTAAATCCACTAGGGTAACTTGAGACGGGCTGTGTCAAAGCATCCCCGTTATACAGAATTCTGCCCCAACAATTTGCCTATTGCTGATATGCTTAGAACGATTATAATTCCACCAATCGCAATAAAAAATTTATTTTTAATTCGAAAATGATTCAGATGCTAGTCATCAACAAATCTTTTGTCAATGAAGCATTGATCTTCTCTCAATTGGGAATACAGATTCTAATTCTAAATGTTACTAATGCATTTCTTGACTTGTGTAGAGATGTTGAGAAGGAGGAAGAGGTAGTTTTGCCTAATGGCATAAGGTACGTGGCCATTCTAAAAAATACTTCCGTTTGTGACTTTTGTATTGCATTATCTAGTTTTATTCAATACCGCGTACCTTAATGAACGGATTGAGTTGACATTTTATCAGGTACTATGATTTGAGAATAGGCGGTGGAGCATCTCCCCGACCGGGTGATTTGGTAGTGATAGATGTAAAGGGTAGTGTCGAAGGCAGTGGACAAGTGTTTGTTGATACATATGGGAGTGAAAAGAAGAAGCCATTGGCACTTGTAATGGGATCAAGGCCTTATAGTAAAGGAATATGTGAAGGCATAGAATATGTCCTGAAGACAATGAAGGCTGGAGGAAAAAGAAAAGTTATAATTCCACCCAATTTGGGTTTTAGGGAGGAAGGTGCAGATTTAGGGTCAGGAGTGCAAATTCCTCCATTTGCAACTCTTGAATATGTGATTGAGGTTGAAAGAGTTTCAATTGCACCTGCATGATTTTTCACCTATAGATAATAGATTTTGTTGGATAATTTCTTAAAATTAAATTATCAAATCTGCTAATAATTATTATTTATTTATTTTTCGTTTCTTTTCAATTTGGGAAATGAGCAACAAGGGCAACTTTCCAATGTGTGATGGTCGAATATCGCTGCAATCAATGACTACTTATATTCGTGGTGATTGATAGGATGGGCAAACATGGACATTGAATCTTGAAGTGTGCATGCGATGCCCTTCGGGGTACGATTTGTGACGACATAGTAGGTGCATGAGATTGTTATTGTTGTCGCATTGCATACTTCAACACATTCAAGCACATCGCCAATTATTTTACGTTGGGTTTATTGAAGATTGAAGTTAAATAAATAAATATGAGATTGTTCTAATCGTTTAAATCGTTTATATTTTTAGATGATGTGATTATTATAATATTAGTAAGAAGTAGAAGGCTTTGATTTAACTCTTTCGCTACCCATTTATGAAAATTATGTATGTAATAAACAATGAAAATTGAAATTGAAATTGAAATTGAATTCAGATTTTAAACTTTTGAATAAGATAATTAAAAAAAAAAAAAACTATTAGTACGAGACACTCAATTAATTTTCTTTCTACCTAACAATTAACAAGCTATGAAGCGAAGTCCTAGGCGAGGAGCAAAATTTTTGGTTCATTTTGACACGAGAGTTATCGCACCTTGACTGTAAGGAAGTGAAATCATCAACCACCAAGGCGATATACAGACTCAATTTACCAAAATCCAAACCAATACCAAAACAAACGACCCAAAGAACACCAAAAAGGTTTCACCTACGGTTGCCAAGCCTTTTGCCACTTAGAGACCACCACAAAGGGGAGAAATATCACCAAGATGTATGCATTAAAGAAAGTGGCAGAGGGTGGAGGTGATGAAGCCGAGAGAGAGCATGCAGGAAGGAGAAAGAAGAGACACCAAGTCTTGTTCTTCAAAGTAGCGTGCAAGACCAAAGAATATATATTGGGCCAAGTCACAAAATAAGGTAAGTTAGGTTTTAGGTAATGGGTCAAGATTCATTAACATATAAGTGGACAATAGTGTGGGCCTCAAAACTAGTTAGCCATCAAAGTAGGTGAAAACATGGCCCATGAGCTACACAATTTAATTTGTTGCTTCAAATTGTCCAATCTCTTCTTGGGTCGGGTCGTTACAATTTGGTATGATTTATCGCTTAGTCATATCTCAATCATCGACTGATAATTAATAAACGGTTTACATCATCGCCTGAAAGGTCATTTGACAACAACATGTCCAACAACCTCCACCTTGGTGTCAAAAGACCTGCAAAAAGAACTCCATCTGCTGCATTGAACAGTGGCACTTCGCATGAGAGATGGTCGAGTAAACTGAGTAATTATTCTATATTTAGAACTTTTGGTTGTGCTGCCTTTTCTCGTCAGAGTGAGGAAAAGTTGGAATCTAGAGCTAGAAAGTGTGTATTTCTAGGGTATCCCGAGGGTATTAAGGAATACAGTCTATGGGATAGAAGTCAAAATGGGGTTAAAATAATCGTAAGTAGGGATATCACATTTAATGAGAATGAGATGCCGTGCATTAAAGAGAAAATCGAACCTGTGAGTGAAACTGAACCAGGTGAGGAGAGAGATTTGTTTAAGGTGGAGTTAGGAAAACTTAGTACACCTGCCCCTATTACTCCTAATGAGGTGGAGATTCAGGTTCAGTAACCTGAAGTGGAGAACGGTAACGAGGTAGTGATAGAAAAAGACCCTGAGGAAGAAATCCCTTAGCTCATTATAATCCATCTAGTATAGAGAGAGAAGACAAACGAGAGAACTTAGAAGGTTTGGTTTTGAATCTGAGTTAGCTTTCGCCCATGCTAGTTACGAAGAACTAGTCAATAGAGAGCCCAAAACCTTTGAGGAGGTGATAGGTAGTGATCAATCTAAGGAGTGGCTTAAGGCGATGAATGAAGAGATTAATTCTCTGGAAAAGAATCAGATTTGGAAGTTAGTACCTAGGCCTAAGAACAAATCAATTGTTGATTGCAAATGGGTTTTTAAGGTTAAGGAAGGTACTAGTAGCTCGGAACCCTTAAGGTTTAAGGCTAGGTTAGGGGCTAAGGGTTACACACAAAAAGAGGGCGTTGATTATAATAAGATTTTCTCACCCGTTGTTAAGTATACCACTATTAGGGTCATGGTTGCTTTAGTTGCGCATTTTGACTGGGAACTTGAACAACTTGATGCAAAAACTGCATTCTTACATGGTGAATTGACGAACAAATCTTCATGAACCAACCCAAAATTTTTAAGAACAAGTTAAAACCTGATTACGTGTGTTTTCTAAAAAGATCTCTGTATGACTTAAAACAATCTCCTAGACAGTGGTACAAGAGGTTTGATTCCTTTGTACTTATTATAGGGTTCCAAAGAAGTAAATTTGATCATTGTTTGTATTTTCAACACAATGATAATGATGATAATTATCTATTTTTGTTGTTGTATGTGGATGATATGCTCTTGATTGGTTCTTCTTCGAAGTGGATAAATAATATAAAAGCAAAACTAAATTGTGAATTTGACATGAAAGATCTAGGTAGGGCTAAGAGAATCCTAGGCATGGAAATAGAAAGAGATAGGTCAAATTCTATTTTGTTCTTGCATCAGTCTCTATACATATCTAAAGTATTGAAGAAATTTAATATGAGTGATTGCAAATCTGTCACGTTGCCTCTTGCTAATCATTTTGTTTTATTGAAAGAACAATCTCCTTGCAATGAGCGTGAAGTAGAATATATGAGTAAAGTGACTTACTCTAATGTGATTGGTTCCATAATGTATTTGATGGTTTGCACTAGACCAGATTTAGGTTTTGCTGTTAGTACTCTTAGTAGGTACATGGCTAATCTAGGCCTTGAACATTGGGAAGCATTAAAGTGGCTATTAAGGTACTTGAAGGGTAAGAGTGACGTAGGTTTAAAGTTTAGTGCTAATAAAGAAAGTGTAAAATTGACGAATTTTGTAGATGCTGATTATGCAAGAGATATGGATAGTAGGAAATCGACTTCGTCTTATGTGTTTACCTTATCCAATTCATGTGTTAGTTGAAAATCACAGTTACAACACATTATTACACTATCCAGTACAGAATCAAAATATATTG